GTCAACGTGGATCGAGTTGCACAATAGCTATAGCTATATCAAGGACCTGGGCCGAAGTTGTTGCCCTTCACAGTTCCAGGTCGCCGTGGATAGTAGCTCCACCAGTGTAACAAGAGTTGATCCTGAGTCGACCATGTGGTTCTGGTTAGCGGAATCGAAAGTTTGGAAAGTTGACGCGTTTTGAAGATGGGCCCTTCACTACTGAATTGCACGTGAGTAACTTGAAGAAGATGGTACACTGGTTGGTTGCTGGTAAATAGCGTCACTGATAAATTTGAACCAGTTGGGTACCTTCGAAGGACCTTTGATGGTACTCCTGGTTGAGAGCGGAGAGTGCCTAATGGTCCGCGCCCCACCACCACCGGACGATCCGCGTGGTCCGACAGTTGTCGGTATAGCAGCCCCCACCAAAGAGAGCGGAATAGGGCTTAAGAGACGCGCTTTTCGGAGCGTCGAACCTCCGGTTTTCCGGTTTTCTTTTTATTCGCTTTCTCTCTTGTCTAACGCCACTTGTGCAACGCGGCGCGAAGTAAAACAGACGCGTGTGTACGGATGGGACCGTTTATAGTGCGTAATGTAATGTACGCCGCGGAACGCACCGTACAGACACAAAAATAACAACATACCGCGCGCGTTTCGCCAAAGTAGGCGATCTCCTGTCGCAGTCGACAGGATTTGTCGGCGTGCGACCGACAAGGACGACGGCATGCTCCGTGCTCCGAGCCGCACTCCGCAGAATAATAAACATCTTTTATCTACACATCATGTTTATTTGTTTATTATAAATTTACGTCATTTGTTTACTCGAGATGACTGAATTAGAAATATTGGAAGGTTATATTTTTTTACATCACAAATGAAGTCAAACATGTGTGTGCGCTCGCTCGCCGAGCTCTCCAAGCCTACGAGTGTACATATACACAAACACACACACAAATATGTGCGTGTGTGTGTACATGTGTGAGCGTACCCGAGGCCTGAACTCTCCTCTCGCTGTAATTTTATTATATTGTAGCATTGTTTCGTAATAAAAAAAATATTGTATTTAACTATTAGTAATATTATGTTTATGGAAACAAACAACAAACAAATAAATAACCGACGCAATGGATGAGCGAGCAAATAAAAATAACAATTATTGTTCCAACAATAAAATAAAAAACACACACACACATGAACGTTCATAAATTTGCTTCGTTTCGCACACCTATTCACACGTACACCATACACATGCACAAAAATTGTGTTTGGTCTTTCATTTGCGGAGCAAGGGAATCGCAAGGTCCCGACTTCGCGCGTCTTGTGTAATGTACATACACAAAATCGGGCGACCTTGCTCGAACCTCGAGGCACGCCACTGGGTTCTCTCGATAAAAATTCCCCATTCGTAGTTTATTTGTTTACTCGAAAACCGAAAAAAAAAGGAAAGAAAAGAGAAGAACGAACGAGAGACAGAGAAAAATAAAAGCGAAGGAAAAAAAAATAAAATAAAACACAACAACAACAACAACAACAACATAAAGAAGGAAAATGAAGTAAACGCAAACAGAGACGAACACAAACACACACGGATTGTTTATGGAATGATGTTTGGAAAATGTGACGTGTCCGTGTGACCCTAATCTCGTTTGCGGTCTGCGGAAATCGAAAAAATTCAAGGAAACCCTACGAAACCTTCATAGGACAAAAAATAAATAAATAAGAAAACGTCAATGAAATTTTGAATTTCAAAAAATAAAAGATGTTGTTTCATGTGTAATACATACCTCGTTATTTTTTTTTCGTTAGAATAAAATGTTCTGTATATTTGAAATTTCATGGGACATAACCGTTTGAATTACAGGACGTACAATGAAAACAGGAAAATGCTTATGAAAACTTAATGGCAAACGTTATTTCAAGTAACATTTTTAAGATATTATACTTGAGATAAACACATATATTGCTTATGGATTAATGTTTGGAAAATGTAACGTACGACATTAATCTGAATTGTGGTATGCGGAAATCAAAAAACCATTAGAATATTCCCTGACGCAGGAAACATTAAAAATTGTTGTCACCACAGGAAACTACGACAATAAAATTTTGATCCAGATTGTAAAAACACTTCGAAAACATAATGGATGTCGAATAGTAAAATTTAACGTTAATTTAAAATCAGTGATTCATGTATAACACGCACTTATTTTAGAAATACAAATTTGGCAAAGTTGGATAAACACATTGTTATTAAAATAAAAATGTGACGCTAATCTCGTTTGCGGTTGGAAATCAAAAATGCAAGGAAACTCTTGGACACGCGGAAACTTCCCAGGATAAACGAGGGAAAAAAAAAGGTATATGAAAGCAGTAGAAAAAAAAAATATGAGGAAAACGCCAATGAAATTTTTAATCTTTAATGTCTCTTTCTCGTTTTCAGAAGGAATAATTAATTTTTCGAAGCGGTCGCGGAAATATGCTCGAGTGCTGCGGATGAGTGAAAAAAAAAAAAGAAGAGAAATAGGAAGAAAAAAAAAATTATGAGAACCGGTGCAATCAGAATTTTAATATTTAAATTATTATGCGGGGGTTCGCGTGTACATGTTTGGGCGCGTTTAATCAACTGCTAATTAAAAAGAAACGAATTAAAGTAAATAAAATGAAAGAGATAGGATAAAATGAAGCGAAAGAAGAAATGGAAACGGAATGATTGCGCTGGATCTAGCGAAGGATAGAGTAATTTAAATAAGGTTCTCCAAATACAATTTAGTGGGAGCGTTAAAAATTTCCCTTATCTCCCATATTTATCTGGCGGCGCGCTCCGAGAGCGAAGCCTGTGCGGGGGCGGTAGAGGGTATCGTGGGGGGTGGAGGGGGTGGCGTTTTCCAGAGGGTAGCGGCGGAGCTCGTTTCTGCCTCGGCCTCGCACCCTTGTTTGTTGTTTACACCATAATAGTATCATAATAACTTCGACGATCCTGGAACGGGGGAGGACGAGAAGACACTTTGTTTGTGCCGCGGATTTTGGGGAGCCCAAGCAGTTATTGCACCACTCGAAGGAAGGGCAGAAGGAACGTACGAAGGAAACAAACAGGCAAAGAAAAAAAAAACAATAATCCATATTTAAACAATTGCCCAAAGTTTTCCCCCTCGCTAATGCAACTGTCAATACGCGGAATGGGCAGGGGGATGAATAAATAAAAACAGAGCCCCGAGTGGACATTGTGTAACATGGAAAATAAAAATAGAGAACGAAACAGCCGCGTACACACACAGTCGGTTACCCCACAAATATTTGGTGAGTAATTATAAGATGTGGAGTAAATTTGTAGAGAAAAAAAAACGCACTATTCGAGGTCCCTGATCGATATTTAACTCCATACAAGATGACGTAACGTTCGGTTGAGTAATAAAGTACACATCGGGAAGAACAGAGCAAAAAAAATATATAGAAGAGGGTGGGTAAATTTCAGAGGGAGACGGAGGAGAAATCGTGAGGGATGAACCCGGTCTTATATTATATTGTCCCCTTTTTTTAATTCATTCACGGAAGAAGCAGAAAGGAAAGAGAAGAGAGCAAAAAAAAAGGACGCAGTCGAAGAAGCAGATGAAGAGAATAGAAGTGGCAGGAAACTAAAGAAACTCAAAGCCGGCGAGAGAGGATATTGTCCTTTGCTTTCATACACTTCAACGGCATATCCTGGGATTGTTCAATTTTTCATAAAGGAAAGCGCAATAACTTTTATTGGCCAACTTTGCGCGAATTACGCCAATAATGAAATATGCCGATATTTCCACAAGAAAAACCAAGAAAACTCATGCAAACAAAAAAAAATAATAATTTAAAATACTGTTTTTCTTTTCCTAAGACTATTTCAATATGTATGTTTTTCATTAAGTTTTAAGATTTGAAAAATCATTAATTTTGTTTCTACAATTATATAATCCTAATTTGCTAAACAAGTAATTGCTTAATTTTTGCAAGGAGAACTAGTACTTATCGGAATTTCAAAGATGGCCTAATCGCCGGAACGATGTTATCAATCGACGCAGTTACAATTGTTTGTTTATTTATTTGTACACGGATGACGCAAACACCAAAACCATCGAGTGATGAATGTGTGCGGTCGCGTTTGTTTATAATACCAAACATGAATATAACAATGGACACATCGTAATCGACTCAGTTCTATAATAGTCATCGAAATTCATTCCATTCTTCTAATTATTATTTAGACTAAAAAAAAAAGTGATTAATTAACAGTAAATTGAAAAGAAAACTATTTATATTGCTTAAATAAAATAGCAAATCATAAAATATAAAACTGTTCTAAAGTTTATACAATTAATAACTGCTTTGGAAGAACGTTAATAGAAGATAAAAATTTTGAATCGTATTGTATCAAATTAAAAATATACAAAATTTTATGTAAAAAAAAAAGCAGTTGAATAATTTGAGAAGCGGAATGTTTTTTTTTTTTTTGGATTTTCGAAGGAAGATTATGCAACTGTTGTTTGTTTTGTTTGCTAATAATTTCTTTGTTCGACTTCTGCACAGTTTTGTTGTTGCCGACGGTGAATACGTTCCTATGAATCACAGCTCACAGAGCACAACAAGATTTAAGTCCAGAAAAAAAAACTTTATTACCAAGCAATTGTGAAATGGTTTGCGATGCGTTCGAGAACACCGGGCTTGAACCGTTAAGCAATCCATCGGAGCCGGTAAACATAACGCGAATGAGTGTCTTATTTTTATTATTATTATTATTTTGAATGAATGTTTGTGAATGTGTGTGCGCGCAGACGAGAAGTGGGGGAGGTAAAGAAACGCGACGAGGTGAATAAATTAAAGGTAAACGGCAATTAACAATAATTGATTGTCGGCGGAGAAATGCCAGAACTGGTTTCGGGTAGGTGTAATTCCTTTGCACGCGAATGTTTGTTGACAGTTACGATGATGATGATGATGATGTCTATGATGATTACAATGATGATAGATAGATAGAGAGTGTAACTTACACAAAATCTGGATTGCCTGAGAGCGTGGGGCCAGGGTGTCGTGGCTGCAGCGAAGTGGTTCTTTGACCAGCCGACGGCAGTCTCGAAAGGGTTGTCTCCTAAGTGGCCCTGGAAGAAGAAAAAACAACATAGGCGATGAAGAAACTGATGATGAATAACAGAAGTAAGAGAGCAGCGATGGGGAGGTGGGGAGGAGGAGTTGGGAAGATATAGAGCACTCCGGAGGCGGCCCCCTCGGTACACGCAGCAATAGCAATAATAATAATAATAATATAAGGTGGTGGTGAGGTCGTTCATCAGATGTGCGAATGTGTGCGGTAGGAAAGGAAAATTTGCAAAGGCGTGCAGTTTATTTGATGAAGAGTCGGTTTATGGCGCGAAAAAAGAGAAGGGCAAAACAATCCCGTAGCCAGGATCGTAGACCTCCCCCCCAGGTCCACGGACGGATCCCGGACCCTGCGTTTGCGAGATTCACACGGGACGCTGCGTTTCGCTGGAAAAAAGATACTACCTCTACAACTACATAATTTCATTCGGCGACGGAAATTAGGCAAAAAAAAAAGGGAGCAAACCGACCGAACGGAAGGGTTTAGACGTACGCGTACGCACACGATGCTGGATCACCACTTCGTGATCATAGAGATGATTTCGCAGAGATGCAAACATCGCACAGCAAACAAACGTGCTATCGATAAAAATGAAAGGACACCTGCGAGGAATCATAAACAATTAGTAGGCATAACAAACACACTCCAGCTCGACAGCATTTACCATCAAGTCAGCAGAAGCCGAGCAACGGCCAGACATGCTTAGGTCGCTCTTTGATCGCAACAATGTATGCAAGTGTATACTATATCTCAATGGTCCGATTATTTTTATTCGCGGATCATCCGAAACGGGCCGCGATTCCCCATCATCATCATCAACATCGAATCCCGCTTCCCTTGCACAATTCTATTTAAACTTATTTACGTTTGGATTAGGGCTGTAGGTTATCGTTATCGGCCCTTCTCGCAATCTTTTCCCTTCTCTCTTTCTTTCTCGTCCAATCCACCCTTAGTTACACGTATTTTTTTTCCCCTTCTCCCATCCTCGGAGCGGGTGTGCATCCATCTGGTAAAATTCTTGCGATGTAGCGTAACTTTAATTTATTTGGAAGTACGAAACCGCATCTCATTATGAGGCGGCTGCTGACGCCTGCACTGATCTTTGTGCGAAGGCCCTTTCGGCGTCCCTTTGCACTTAATCAGCACCGGCTTTGCGACGAGATAGCGGCTTTTAACATTCTCTCTTTCTTTATTCTTCTTCTCGTCCTTTTTTTTTTCCTTTCGCCATTGTAGGGGCAGATGACGGAGGGGTGGGCCGCCCCCGCAAAATTAGGAACGGATCGCCGAAGTGGCCGCCGGATGACCGAGGGATGAGGACGAAACCGCTACTGTCCGTTCCCCCCCTTCGAACACGACACAATAAAACAAATTAATGTCCGGCCCCGGGCCGTTCGAAATCTTGCGTTTCATTTGCACACGCACGCAAGTATCGGGATTCAGGGACGCCGCAGAATCAATAAGGGCTGATACAGAAAAATCGAAATCAGCAGATACGCAAATAGACGGAATTCCCAGTAAAATCCTTATCGATCCTAATCGATCGCTGATTACGCTTAATGTTACGAGAAAGAACTCGAATATTTAAAAAAAAAATTATATATATATATTACAACTTATATAATTCCAATTACAAAAACAATTTAAATCAAATCTTAACATAAAAATTGTTAATTAATATTTTCGAACATGATTCTTCACATTATTTCAGAAACGTCTCTCAACAAAACGTATACATCTTTTAATAAAGATTTCAAATTTAAATCCTTGTAAAAGTAACACAAACGTAAAAAAAAATAAATTATCTAATTTATAATATTTTTTTTAAATATGCGTAATTGCGTGAAACTTGTTATCGACATACAAACAATCGAATGTGATTCACGGTCGTTGAAAGCAGCTGATGCATTTAATATAAATACACTATTTTACTACAACATATCAATTTTATATAAATGAGAATTAAGAATTAACTTATTAGAATGTTATAATATAGTTTAATTAGTTACAAGTAATAAATAGATATATTATATAATTATAATTTTCTATTTCAAATTTACAAAAAAAAATAGATTGAAACAACAACTAAATCTTAGTTTAGTCGCTAATATAGAAAGTTTGTATAGTTTTCATCTGTATTTTTTACCAATTACTTAGTTATTGTTTGATATTGATATTAGAAACTATGACTGTATTACCTTCTAACACCACTATGAAATATTGAATGAAATGTACACTACTTTGTATTATTATATTTACTAAAGCATACAATTATGTTTAAAAAAACATATGCAATTATTTTGAATTGTTAATATTATAAATAAAATATATTAATAATAAAAAATATCTTTTACATCCTTCTTTTGTTTCTTCTTGTTAGTAAAATATTTTGAAATTGAATATAACATTTAATAATTCTTTAAATCTGAATACAATGTTAAAAGTTTAAAAGGTGGAATCGATTGTACAATGTTTCGTATGGAATTTGATTATACCTAAAGGAAAATTGATTCTGAATATAGGATGAAATATTTTCACTTTTCAACAAAAACTGTCTCTTGTATTGAGAATTTACATTATGAAGATACAGTGAATGTTAGAAATGATGTTTGATTATATAAGCAAATATAATGTAAGAGTTTATTGGTTTGTTCTGAATTATTCAAAAATAAATAAGATGTTGAGAGATAGTATAGATTGGTTCATCAATTTAAACACGTTCGCGAGCGCAAATGGTTTAAATATATATATATGAAATCTAGCAAGAAGTTTAGCAGTACTTGCAATTTACGAAGCGCGGTTAAATATAGAGCAGCAACTTCGGGAGAAGGCAAGAAACAATAAACAACATTAATTGTTATTTCACGAATGTAATGGGCATGTACGACAGCTTGTAGCTCGCTCCTAGGACAAATAAATATGGCAGATAAGTCTGTTTTTGTTACGGCTTCGCAACCGATTAGTCGAAGACGCGATTGCGTAACAATGGGTGGCGGAGGAGGAGATAGGTATCCCGGGGAACGGGTAAGTCAGAGAAGTGGATGGTTTCTTTATCTTCTATTCTTTCCCCCCCGCTTGTCCGTCCACTGTCCACCGCTTGTATACACACACACACACGTGAACGGTCGTCTCGAGGATTCGGTTTTTATGTTTTCTTCCATTCAATGTCCATTTCTTGAACAATCTGTTTACACAACATCTCCTGCAGGGCCGTACTTAAACAAGTCGGGTCTCAACAAATAAAGCGAAGAGTAAATAACGCCGCTGCACGCCACTTTATCTCCAATATAAACCAATTCCCCGTGCGTACCTTTAATAATGCAGGTACAAATTAATGGGTGGTGGGATGGCAGAGAGTGCGAGCGCCCACGGGCGGATGAACGGTTAAATGGGCGCCGGCGTCGCGACGCTTCCCAACTGATATTTAACACGCATTAATCATTGATTCCGAGGGGGTGTCGCGTCGGCGAATATAGAAAAGCCAACAAAATACTGCAGGACAATAAATACATTATGGATAAGCGGGGGCCGCAGTACAAAAGGATATTTTTATTTGGCCCAGTGTGATTTATGCTTCCCGAGGCCAGATGCAAGTTTATTTACTTAAGACGTGCCGAGGCGACGCGCACACACATTTATACACATCCACACAAACGGATGAAGAGGAGTGCTACTACCCCTTTCGGATAAACGCCCTGCTCCTCGACCGGCCCTGACATTTCTGGTGACATTATCCGCGCGCCAAAAGCTCTGCACTTCCTGGACACTAGCATTCAAACGCAGGACACTTTTCAAGGATAATTCGTTGTTGTTGTTGTTTTTTTTTTCAGGATTAGTAGATATTACCTTGGCGCTCCTTTCGACGCACATACGATGCAATTCAAAAAAACAAAGTTTGTAGCAACTCGCGGATGTTTCTTCTGTTTCACACCGGTGGGGCTGTTGCGTAAGTCGCGCGCGTTTCGTAAAGCGCGACCGGATGCTTGTGGAAGAGCGAGATATAACGATGAATGTATAAAATTTTGCGCGAAGAAAAAACGGCGCGAATTTCGAAAATCTGCCGAGCGGTGCGGCGCGCCGTTCACGACGTTCCACGGGCTCAGAACATACTGAGTATAGGCACACGTTCGAGCGGCACATAATGTTGTTTACTGTTTACATGTCTACCCGCCTCGCCCGTATGAGAGATGTTGTTTACTTAGTTATATTTAGAGTTTAGAGAAATGCAAAAGCAAACCAACTACACCTGCCTCGGCTGGAGAGATCTACAGGGACGGACGACCGCCCGAGTGCGACGGCCGCCCGCGTCCACCCATCATCGTCGGCCCTTCGTACCCTCTCCTCTCCAGGTATACAGGATAGCATCATCGAAGAAAGGATGCAAATAAGAGGACGGATAGAGGTGATGCAGATGAAGAATTGAAGAACGCAACTGCAATATTTTTAGATGTCCATTGCATAACGGACGAATTCTAAAATAATACATAATTCGTGCATACGTACACATGCAAGCATCGAACTAATAATAACCAAATAAACAAGTTTTATAATAATCCCACGGCTTCGAGCTTTTCCAGCGCCCGAAAATCCGCGACGCCGTTTATTTATACGCTCGCACACACACGCACAAACATACACACACATATACTCAAACACACGTAAAACGTTACTAGTTTTATTAATTAGAGAATTTATTGCGGCCGAAAGTGCTCGAAAGGCCACTTTGTTGCCAATTTGTATGTATGTGTGAGCGAGAGCGCTCGTTGCAGTTAATAAAACTCCAGCGTACATACATTAAAATTAATTTCAAAAGTAAATACATAAATAAATAGTTGCATTGGAAACATAAACAGCAGCAAAACTGCAAGTCGACTAAACGTAGAAAAACACGCGCGGACAAACACATATACGTACATATCTCGCCAATACGTGTGCACATGCACACTGTAAACTGCATACCGTTCGCAAATCTAAAATATATACATCCAATTCCAGATGATTAAG